TTATGCAGAGACCTAATTAGTTTTAATTGGATATTAATTACCTAATTTGCATAATGTTCCACTGATATATAAAGAACCACAAATTGGATTTTAATGAAACTTTTAAAGAGAACTATGCAGAAACCCAATTAGTTTTTGGTAAATATTTATGCTTATTAATCACCTAATTAACATAATTAATTAACACTGATATCTCAATTACTGATCATCACATTTGAATAAAATTTGGTACATAAATGCTCTAGGACAATAGACAGGCCTGATTAATTTTGGGTTAAAATTTGTTCATATTAATTCTCTAATTAGCATAATAATTCATAATTGTTTTGTTCTGTTCTGTTCATATTAGTTACCTGATGTACATAATTAGTTTTCAGCTTTTCTATCAATATCTCATGTACAGGTAATTTTGAATTAATTTTTAATGTGTCTTCAATACTCTCAGCACACGGGAGTTCTTTCTAAGCTTTCTTTGATTATTAATTAATACTAGTTTTTTAGTAAATTTTAAAAAACGATTCTCAGTCTACTACATTTACTAATGACAGAGGGAGCATAGTGAATCTCTTTGTATGTTTTTTCTTCTTTCTCAGTTTACCTTACCGAATAGTCTTTGCAGTGGCCACTGAAGATACATTATTATTCTATGATACACAACAAAATGTGCCATTTGCCTACATAACAGATATCCATTATCATCAACTGAGTGACATTGCATGGTAAGATATGTGTATTTATCTAGTACTGTAGAATACTGTATTTTTGCTTGAATTAATTTTCGCTGAAAAGACTTTTTGGGTGTTTTGTATAGAATTTATTTTCACTGATTTTTGACAAGTTGGATGTAAAATACAGGAAAAAAGGTATATTTGCTGGATTTTATTTTCACTGAATCATTCCTCCAGCAAAAATAGTGAAAATAAAGTATATGACAACCTCAGCAGTATACACATGTATACACGAAGTCCGATTACCGTGAAAACTCTAAAATTTCAGCCACTTTTAAATAATTCTATTTGAAAAACGGTTGGGTTTTTAGAATGCAAAATAACGATCAATAATTCAATAAATATAAAAGTTTGGTTATATACAGTTGCATCGCAAATTAAACGTCAAACAAAATTACACACACTTTCCTGCGTCAACATAGAAAATCGCGTCTCTAAACAAAATTTTGGAGTAAAAATAAACCAGCGATTCCGGGAGAGGTCGAAATTATGGAGGTCTTCAAATTACGAAAACCAGCCAAACAACCAGGAGTGAAGAATTTTCAGAGTAGGCGAAATTTTAGAGTTTTTGCGATAGTATGTTGCTGTGATACTGATCCCTATTGTCATGTAAAAGTGACAGAATCACCATCTTTGACTACTATTCACTGCAATAAAAGTGTCACTGTCAATGCTCCAGTAAGTCTTGATCATTGGACCTGAATGTTGTTCTAAGTGCTGTACTAGCATGTGTTTGAATAAAATTTCTGACATGAATGACCATACTTCGACAGTGATACAACTCTGTTATGTCCTGTAAAACCATTTATTGTCGTTGATGTTTAATTTAACTTTGTTGATGTTTTCAGCCTGTTCACTGAGATTTAAGTTCAAAAATTTGCCAGGGATTGTTATTTTACATGTTTATGTAGATTTAATTTAGCAGATTTTACTTACCAACAAAAATAGTGAAATTAAAACCCAACGAAAAATTACATTTATAGTATTATTTTTTGGCTCTGCATGCAGTAAGTACATGTATATAGTAAACATCATTTCGCTCTATTCTATTCTATTGATAGTGCTTAAATTACAGGTGTAATTCTTTGATCAAACTAAGTCATATTTTGATGATCCAGGATACAATAAATGCAATTTTTGGTTTACACTTGCTTCTGATAGAAATGCGCTTGTCATAGTTCAAACATAATACTGATGTACAGTGGCTACTCAATGGTATACACGTAATCACAAAAAAATCAGAATGAAGCTATGCCACATTTTAATTTGAAATTTGAATAATTCTGATAAGATGTTGTTTTGATACAAAATACATTTTAGCTTGAAATTGCTACAGTACAAAATGGTGACAACATTACATAAACCATCTCTTTGTCATAGTGGATGTACTGTGAACTATCAGTATTGTAATTTCATAAGCAATAATCTTTTTATCTGAATTTTTCTGCGAAAAAAGGTTGCACAGTTTGTTGGCTGTGACATCTTGTGATGTGTTTAACACCCTTGCATTCGGCCAAAACAAAAATTATTCATTTATGGTCAGCCCACATTCAAGCTCATGCTCATGGACTTTTTTTTGTGGTTTTTGCCAAAATATTGTGAATGACCTTATTGCAAAAATGATGTATATTTGGAATGATTTTGATTCTGAAATATTTGTTACTTGTAGGTCATCTGATGGACAAGTTGTTGTTGTGTCTTCCACTGATGGATACTGCTCAATAATCTCATTCGAACCTGACGAGTTGGGCACACCATATAAGCGCCAAGTTGAAGAGAAAGCAGCTGTCACTAATAAGAACACGGAACCAATGGAGAAGGATTCTACCAATCAGAGCACTAAAATGGATGTTATAGAGACCATTACAGCAAATCAGACTGCAAAGACAGACATCAGTCAAATCAAGTCAGCCAATCAGACAAAAGCTTCTCCTGCATTAAATGTACCTGCCAGTAGTAAAAATGAGTGAGTACTGTTTATAAAATCATCAGATCAGATCAAATCAAATCAAGATTACACGGTTTACTACCATACCAAGTCCTAATGATTAAATCAGATCTTATTGGCCTTTTCCTCTTTTTTTTTTTTATTTTCTTACCTTGAATGGTGGTGGTCGTCTTGCAGCACATGTTCAAATTTCATGTATTTTACACAAGTTGTGTACCTCACCGTGAGTCCCATATCAAACAGGCCACAGTCCTTTAATTTTATTTTCTGGCTGTAAAAGCCCAAACATCTGAACAACCTCCATTGAAGATTTCGTCTGTGAGATTTCCAATGGCTAGATAAGTCAATACATTGATTATGTTTATTTTGGGCAAGCGTCAGTGTTGTTTCTGTGTTGGTGTAAAAGTGACACATGTATAAGCTCACTTTACAATGCGACTTGTGTTTTTTGCTGTATGTACACGTGTATCTATATGTGTTTGTATGTATGTATGTGTATGTGCCAATAAATTAAATGTGTTTGTATATTTGATATGTCCTATTTTTAATGATCCAGCATATATAATACATTTTTACAAGCAATTCTATTGGAGAAGAATTTCAGTGCAGTTCATCATTCTCTGAATATGACAAATACTTGCCACATCCTGATTGTAAACCCAGTTTGTGTAATACAGTACATGTTAGTTAGCTGAGTCACTGACAACATTTGAAGATACTGTACTCTGTTATGGTTTCTGTAATTGTTCTGTATTCCTTTTTTCCTAGATCACAGCCAAGACGTATACAATTGACATCACTGAGTAGTCAACCCTCAACATTGACATCTACAGGTAGGTAATCTTTTGTGTCTTTTCTTATGGGATG